GCTCTTCTCTGATTGGCTGATACAAAAATCTCAATAATTTCCTTGTTTTTTGACAAAATACTTTGAAATTTAGAATATAAGTATATATTATAAGGTGCTACAACATGTTATATAGGAAATTTCTTGAAAACACGCGCATGCAGGTGTGCTGCAAACTGATTGGTTGAAACTTTAAATGTCTTTAACTCCCTTGGTTTTTAACAAAACAGGATGAAATTTAAGACATGGATAGGTACATAGAGCTCCTACATTATGATACTATCAAAATTGAATGCAAGGCCATGCATGCGCGTATGCTGAATTTTGATTGGCTAATACTTAAAGGGTTACATCTCTCTTATTTTTCAATGAAATTCTTTAATATTTAAAACAAATGTATGTATTGTGAGACACTATAAGATAATTAATGTAAAAAATGTAGCTATTAGATTGGCTCATACCCATATGGCTATATCGGAGTAGTTTTCCAATGAAATACCCTTAAAAATAAAGTGTCCATCTATATTACAAAAGTATTGTCTAATTTATTGAAGCTTGTAGGGAATGGGGCATCACAAGGGATTGGGGAGCCGTTTGGGGAACATCTGTAACGGTTCCCGTTACAATTAGCACTAGTTAGAAATGAGCTGAATACTCTATGATAACTTTATATCTTTTTTTATGTGTGTATGAGTGCATTTCTGACAAAATGCTATTTTTTTTATAGGTTGCAGGAAGAACTGCTGAATAAATTCAAATCTCAGATGAAATTCCAGCTTATGTGTTTCTATGGTGACAGTGTAATGAGGACTTCTAGTGTTGCATAATTCTATTGAGCAGACAGGTATTGTGCAATTTCCACAGGGAAATTAAAACTGCAGTGATAAAATGAAAAAGCAGTATGGATCCTGCAATAATTGTACAACTTATACACAACGGAATTTAAATTCTTTAAACTACCAATTAAGTGCTTAATTATTATCAGATGAACAGATTCTTGTGCAATATTTTTAATTTTGTTATGTGAGGTATTACATAATTTTGTTTTTTTTTTAAATTATAAAATTATTTAAGAAAACCATGATTTTTGAATATCATAACTTGCCAGATTCTGGCTGGCAAACAGGTTTAAGGCAGACAAAGATATCTGATAAATGGATCGAGGCATTCAATGGTACAGAGTATACTCTACATGCTACCTTTTATGTGTTGATCGAGGGATGAAAAGTTACCCACATGTCAACAAAGCAGTTTTTTTTTTTTACAAACTTGCATGAGTTTAGACATGCATATGCTTGTGCTTTATGAAAATCTGTAAAATGATGTGAGCATCATCAGGCAACAAAGCATGTTAATCAAGTGTAAACTGCAGAGGTTTGGATAAGTAAGATCTAAATATTGTGAGAACTACCGGATTTGACAGTCAGTTGAACACACTTTTCAGTTAATTTTCAGCATATGTAAGTCAAGGATAGCTTCCTGTTCATGTGAAAACTGGAGAGGTCTGGTCTGGAAAGCTGCCCTGAATTATCTCCAGCAATCAGATAGCCGGATGTTGTGGAGTGTGTGTTTGTTGTACAACAACATGCATTGTGATATTAGTGTCAGAATGTTACATAACTACATATCCTTAAATATTTCTGCTATAAATACATAGATCAACTCATAATTCATCATGGATATTGTTATAATTGTTGCATTTATTCACATTTTTCGAAATATCTGTTAGTACAGTGAAAATGAATGTAGCAAATTCATGCTAATACCAGTCATAAGTTTTCACTTAACTAATAAAAATGACAAAATTAATTGCATAAAATGAATTAACTTAGTAAAACATATTAACATGATAATCAAGGCCGTCAGTTTTGATATCCTTAATCCTTGTTAAAATTATTTTATTTTAAAAAGATGTATATTTTGGGCCAGAAATTAGTAAGCTTTTCTTTGAGAACTGTGCCTCTCTGTAGTTAGTAGGAAACTAAAGTCAGTGATGCTCTTTTTAATTCTGTCAGTTTTTTTTATTGTCTATTCATAGACATATAAGAGATACGTCTATGACCTATCTCAGTCTAGGAACCTTTAACCTTTGACCCTCAAATATTGGGCATCAATTATATCTGAAGCTAGCAAGTTAAAGATTGAAAGGTCAAATGATGCTCTATAAATCTGATACTGAAGGCTTAAATAGTACTCACACATATTATGGTAGCTTTAATGTTAATCTTTGATCTTTTGACCTACATGCACATGTGAAAAGCTGAGTAATCTCTGGTCATTTCCACATCTCTAGAAAGTTTCAGACCTAATTGTTAAACGGTACTCTTAGATATGTGTCAACAACATTGGTAAGAAGATATTTATTTTGACCTTGACCTTTGACCCTTAAGTGAATAAGCTTTTACCCCTGGTCATGTACCAACTCTTTAACAAGATAAGACTGATAGGGAAAGTGGTACTTCATACATAAAGGTCAGTTACTACATCCTCTTGCAACTTTGTTGCAAGGGGAAAAAATTTTGGAGGGAAAACATCAGGTACATCCAAATTTACATTAAGTGGTGATACGCATTGGATAATCCTAACAGGTTTCTCGGTTTGATGGTTTAAGAAATGTGATTCTTTTTGTCGCGAAAATTATTTTGTTTCAGTGGGAGCCCTGCCATATATCAAGTTTTACATTATTAGATGAATTGTAAACAAGAGTTACATGTGAAGTAATGAAAAAAAAAAATCTGATTTACACAATCGCAGCTTTCGAATATTTGTTCCTTTTTTTCAATGATGAATTCTAGTTGGCAGCCATAAAGGGGCATGGAGACAGATTTGAAGTTTATAATGAAATCGGTAATAATAACGAACAGTGATCAATCTAAAAAAAAAACTTACAAACAATAGAAATCTGTGAGAAGGGCATAAAAAACGGACCCCTGGAACTCCAGAGGTGTGACCAAGCATGTAGCACTGACAATTATTGTTAAGCAAAAACGACTGGGGAAAAAATGAGACAAAACAGGAAATAGGTATTCTCACAAAACTCATACTAGTAGGTTGGGGGGGGGGGGGGTAAAATCTAACTCTCGTATTCGTCATATTTTTGAGTACATAACGAGGGAGAGCTCTACCATGTCACAACAAAAAGTTGGGAGGAGGGGGCTTAGGATTGAAAAATTCCACGCAAAATTAACAGTGAGGGGTGATCCCAATGCAATGCCGCCTATATTTTTGTAACGTCGAATGCTATCCTTTATATCAACTAATTCCTGTACGTTTGCGTTTTGTTGAATAATTTGAGCAGCTTTTTTGGAAAATCTCTTGATTAAAAACCTAAAATGTTGATTTGTTACAGATATTTAGCAAAATCACAGCATATCATGTGATAATTTGAAAATGTGACCGAAAATATTCACATAGACTGAGTACATATGCATAATGAAACAAGGATTGTGAGAGTATTGCATTAGCAATACTAGTCCCCTACCGGCAAGTGTAATCTGGTTTACGTTAAAAATTAAAAATGCCACAATTCCGTCAAAAATCATTGAAGCGGAACGAAATGCAAACCTGATCTATAACTAATCAAGGTAAAGTCACATACCAAAAATCAGCTCAATATCTGCAAGCGTTTAGAAAAAAATTGCGGAAAACCCTTAAAAATCGAAAAGGTCGGAATTCCGTCAAAAATCAATGAAGTGGAACGAAATGCAAACATGATCTGTAACTCATCAAGATACACTCACATAAGAAATATCAGCTCAATACCTGCAAGCATTTAGGGAAAAAATGCGGAAAATCAAGTGGGACAGACTGACAGACAGCTAGAGGGACGGACGGACAGACTCAGAGGAAACCTATAGTCCCCTCCGGTTTCACCGGTAGGGGACTAATAACAAAGTACAAATCTAAGTAATTTGAGTGAAATTTTGCCTTCGTATCGTATTTGTTAATCACACTTACATTGGCAAAATCTCAGCTGCAGCAGTTCACTGCGATACTATTGGGGCAGGGACGAATAGGTGTCATTGATTGGGGCAAGTTTTTGATTTTCCATATATTCCAAATCTGAAAAAAGGGCGCTCTGATATGTTATAGTCGATTAAAGGGACTCGTTCTGATCAACAAAGCCTTAAAAACTCAATGTTTGAACATGTAGGAATTTCTCCGGGAGAGTTGTTTTCGTCCAGCTTTGCGTCAAGGTCAGAAATGACCAGACCAAGATATGTGACAAACAAAACCTATCCCTATATTATACATGAGCCGGAAAGTACACCATCTTGAAGTATTTACAGACTCCTGATCGGACACCAGTAAACAGCTTTAAAGCAGACTAGAACAACATGCAGGACCTCAATGTTGCTGGTCAATAGGCATCTAATAACGACGATGTAAAGTTATATTCTTGATATAACCGTCTTATATTCAGCTACATTATTGATATTTCACAAAATAAAGACACCAGCCACCTCAGATTTTTAGCTCTACTGGTCAGATATTTCTTTTAAACAACTTTATTTTTCGGTGTTAAAATCTTTTGATAACGAGCATCTTTTTTTTTTACCTTGAAGGTTTTGTCATATTCTAAATTTACCAGGTGGCAGTAAATGCAAAACCTACAATATTACAACCATCTACACACCAACTATGTTAAATACGCTATACTTTGTCATTTACAATATACGAGGGTTGATCCAAAAGTTATGTCACACCCGCCCTAAAGTCTTTATAATCAAAAATTTTTAACATATAACAAATTACTTTTGAATCAATCCTCGTACAATTGCTTGTTCAGCATATGCAGTACAGATCACTCGATTTTTATTTTTTTTTTATTTAATTTTTGGACACGAAATGTCTCATGCTTCGTTTTGTCAGACTTGGTCTCCGATGTCCTTGACACTGGATTAGAGTTGTTTACAATTTTAACAGACTTGCCGGTATTTCGGTCGGCGACCTAGTTTGCCTTCGGGACTTCCCAGGTGAACACAAGTCGTGTTAACCAAATCAAAGCAACGTCAGGAAACTATTCAACAAATTTAATCGTCAAAAACAGTAAAGTTTTCTTTTACATAATTCGAGATGATAGCACTATGTCGCTAGAAGCACCTAGTAACGTGCAACATGATTCAATGAACAGCAAATTACAAAAAATATAAGACAGTGCAAACATATATGGCAAACAATGAACAAAAACTGAAATCGTGACATACAAAATGCAAAATTCAGGTGCTCGTTGAAAAAAAAATTGCTAACATACCTTATGTACATTTATACACAAACATTTAATTTTAACGTCCATGTGGAATTAAGTCAATATGTTGGACAAATGTTAGAAATGAATACGAGATCGCAGAAATCATGATATCGATGATGATAAACTAATGCCATAAGCATGGACTAGTCCGTTATTTACACCCGTCTAACCGAAAAGAAAGACAATTTTATTGCCATTTTATGTCAAATTCGTTTTTGAAGTACTTTTCTGCAGATGTGGGACGTGTCTTCTCCAAACTGAACGCACGCTGCAAAAATCTGCCCGACGTCGAAGACGGTAGTGAAGATGAGGGGACGGATATTGGACCGAAAGAAGTGGGGGAACCAACGGGGCTGATGGACCCTGTATCAGAGCTCGTGGAATCCGATCTGTATCTCCTGAAGGACGGATTTTGACTGGGCACCTCTACTGGAATTTGTCGGGCTTTCTTTACATCTACTTTCAGTCGGTGCCTGTCTTCTGAGGTCATGTTATACACATCACGTCCAGCTACAACGTTCATTTCTGGTTTGAAGTGAGTGTGCTCCTTCCCCGCCCACTGGAATGTAGTCCTAAAATCCCCCGAGGTCATGTCTGACGATGACATGGTGTCGATCTCTGCAAAGAAAACACACTAAGCTTGAAGTAAATTCTTTGTGATTTTTTTTGTGCATTACAGACCTTCTCCAGTGCATTAAGAAATATGCGATTTTTTAATTAAACCATTCGAACACGAAATTGTTTTTCCCCTTAATATTTACCAATTAAAACAAAGAGACGCCCTATACTACACATAATAAATATGTACATTTCATACTTACAAGAAAGGAATGTATGCTTCTTTGCTCAATATCTGATCAGCTTCGTTCTCGAGTCTTTGCCGCAGTGTTGACAGAAAAGAAAATTCATTCAATTTATAGGAGGGACCCTTGCGTGTGGACCCCGAAAACACGCCACTTCCATGTTATGACTACTCATGTTGGCATAAAGGGAACTCTCGGTGAGAAAAATGCTGGAATGGGACTTGCTTTAATGCATAATAATGGCGTTTGCTCACGATTAAAAACGAATGTTTTGTTGAAAAATTGAAAACTTATAAATGATGTCGTAAATATGTGTTTTATGTTCCCTTGCTCTGCAGAAAAAACACCTGATTTTAAATGTCATCAAGTCTAATCTATAATTTTTACTCTGCCATTCACCGATATTGATGTTACCACGTGGTTTTCCGTTTACTAACAATACCACGTGGTGAAATCGACATTGACCTAGTTACGCCTTTTCTGCACAATTCATTGACTGCATACATGACACGTTTTGTTGATGCAGCTTTCTATTCATCAATGCAATATTTGCATACATTGGGATATTGTCGATGATTTTTTTTCTTATTTCACGTGTATATATACATGCATTTTTTTATGGTTACAGATTACACATGCATGCATGCAACTCGCTCGAAATATTGATGTCATTGGAGAAAATGCTATTTAACTGGTAAGTCGATCAGGGCAAGGAAAGAATTCGTATATTTTTTACATAGAATCTGCTAGAGGCATGTTTTATTACTATAAAGAACAAAAGCCGGCTAAATTTTTCAATGGGGCGACTTAACTACGGAAGCCCAAATGTGGACATTCAGGCTTTATTTTGTGTCAGCCACTGGTATTGGTATGTGGCAGCCGCCCATGCGCGATTCTAGAGGTAGTCGGGAATCCGGACCTGATTTTAAAAGTTATTAGAATTATATAGTAAAGTAACTACCTCGGACCACCACCTCCAGAAAACACGGACATCAAGTAAAATATGGTACGGAGCATCATATATATGCATGCATGTAAAGAAAATAAGGAAAGCAACTTGGTCATCACTCCCTCCCCCTTTTCACGAAATAGTTTTTGGGGAGGGTTGGAAAAGATGGTTAGGATTTTTTTCCAGCTTGAGTACTACAGAAATATATCACAGAAAAAAATCACGGTAGCTCAGTCGGCACTCGGCCGATTCGTACCTCATCTAAGTTTGATGAAGGTGACGGAATCAGCCGAGGTTTGCCGAATGGCTTAGTCGGTAGAGCGCTTGCTCCGTGATCGGAAGGTCGTGTGTTCGAATTACGGCCGCAACTGACCTAAGTCGATAAAAAATAGCTAGCAACTGTTCCTTCGCCAAGAGCTCGGCACTTTGAAGTGAAAGTTGCGGGTCCTTCGGATGAGATCTTAAAAACCGAGGCCCCGTGTTACGGTAGGCGTTGGCATGATAAAGAACCCTCACTGCTCAATGGCCCTGGGTGCCGAGTAATGGTCTAAATCCGAAGCCCTTCACAGGTATATGGTGACGTCTCTAACGAGTGAAAAATTCTCGAATGGGACGTAAAACAACATACAATCAATCAATCGAACAGCCCTTGTTGGGGGGGGGGGGAGCAATGTGCCATCACATAAGTAAAAAAAAAAAAAAGAAATGAAAACCGATAGGATTTAATTGGCGGTTGTCAGATGTAATATCTTACTAACATCTGTTAGTAGACAGGGGAAAAAAATAAGCACAAGATAAGGAATATTAATATTCTTTAGCACCTTTTGGCTGCCGTACTAAATTAACAACGTATGATATTTTAGCATCCCCAAACATAACAATCCTATGTAAAATTTGAAAATATATTTTAAAATTAAATTTGAATTTATATTGATTAATCATGTCTAATTGAAACTTTAAAATCCCTTTTATAAAAGATTCTTCGTGCGCAAGTATGCATCCTTTTTACACAGAAATAATATTCTGGTACAAGTAAGTGTATACATGTCACGTATATTTATCGAAAGGAACCACCGTCTCTTTCACAATGCCCCATTTCTTACCAAAAGGCCAATTGTACATATTCTCTAAACATAACAAACTTAGTACAGTGTATATTGAACATATTTTTAATTCAGACATTATTGTATACTATTCACATACATGTAATTAAAATCACACATAAGTTCATGAAGCTGTCGGCGGTCATGTGACGCACATCATGTGCAACTTGTGGTATGGAGGCGAAATTCGTTTGTAGAGTTTACAATTAATGAGAATGTAAGAGATCAATGGGAAAGATGTACAATCACTCAAAGAGTAATTCTTCTACTGCCATTTGATGTCAAATTCGTGGTAAAGGTGTTTTTCTTTGTGAGAAGTGTCCACTTGAAATGCTTTTGTGAGAAATCCGCCGCCCGTAGAGGAAGGAGAGATTTGTGAGGCAAAGGCGGATCCAAGATGTGGCATGACTGGAGGGGATCCGACCGGTGGGACCTCGCTTTCGGAGCAAACACTGTCTGAGCGCATGCGCACGGGTTGCTGAATGGTGGGGGAGGGAACGTGCGAGTGTGCGTCTTTCCACATCTGTCCTCGCATCCTTCCATTTTTGTGCACGTCTACCCCATTCAGGATGTTTTTCTCCGGGTGGAAATGAGGTTCCTCCCTCATGTACTCCCTGTATTCTCTCTGGTCCATTTTCTTTCTATTTAAAGAAAGAAATAAAAAATATTTTGTAAATGATACTATTATTTGTCATTATTTTGTTTTATTAAACAGTCAAATTAAAATCGATCAAATCAACTATGAAACATGATACATGCTTACGAAAATGTTTTCTGAAGAGGCGCTAGGGATATTTTTCCAAAAGTAAAACGGTACTGCAATCTGGCTGCCAATTTGGTTTGTTATTAAATTCTGGGTCTGTTCTCCTTTTATAGTGGAACTGCTTTGTGTTTGTTTGGTGACCAGCCAAAACCAAACAGGAATTAACAACAATCGATAAAAATAATCGTATATTGATTATAAATAGTTTTTTTTAGATATCTTTCACAGACTAGAATGTCAAAACCTCCCGGTATGTCATGCACGTGAGGAAACGATGAATCAAACTCAATAGATTTTTTTTCTGACTGTTCGGAAATGGTGCCAATAGAACCTTGCTTTCTGTCCTGTATTTCGTCAATTAAACGTCGATTACCTGTAAATGTGCTATTTAAAGAACAGTAAGGACTATAAATAAATATAAATCATCTATTTGGCTTCTTTCCCATCCTTTTGTAGCTTCGATTATATCTTAAATAGGAATATAGGTAAACGTCCTTCTGTTAGGCTTAACCTAATAAAGTACTATTGCAGGCTTTCACCTAAATTAGTTATCATTTCCTAGAGTCAACGACCAAAAATACATAAACTTGTAAACCATCCAATAGCGTCCCAAAGAAAGGGGTTAACTTAATCATTTTTGCCTAGAAAATATAGGAATCAGCAAACCTGCCTGTTTCCTCGCAAAATCTGACAAAAGCGATATTTGTATACATGATAACATTTATCGTAACCAGTTATACAATGGTGCATGTAACAAGTCATTGCTGAAAAGTGGAGATAACGAACAGTATTCAAATTCAAAATCCATTAAAACAATACAAATCGGGAGCAGAGCAAAGACGGACCTCCAAAAGCATCAGAGGTGGGATCAGGTGCCATGGAGGAGTGAGCATCCCCTGCCGACCGGTCACACCCCCGTGCGCTCCTTGTCATGGTCGGGAAATAACGGAAAAATCCGTCGACAATTCAGTGTGTAAATGATGGCCTAACAACTTAGTATAAAAAACGACAGTCAGCATATGACTTAATGATAGATTGTATTTGCTGACAAGGTCATTGTATCGACCATAGAAGTTACGAAATTATGACTTTAAACGACTGTTGATATTCTTGTTTCATCAACTTGTTTGTCAATAACTTACCTCGTTTTAGAAATTGTTCATACGTAGAGCATGCTCTTGCGCATCGAATCAACTGAGAGATATACGACCCATATGCATGTGATAAGGGTATATTGCTGCTTAAGTAAGGGAAGTTGACGATTGAAAAGGTAAAGTCATCACGTTTATCATAAAGCTTTGTTGTTAGAATACCATTAACGTCTTTTTCTAGTAAAATATCCAAATATGAAACAGATGTGTCAGACTCTGTGGTATCTTTTATTTCAAGCTTAAGCTCACTGGGATATATCGTGTCGACATATGAATGAAATAACTATTGTTAATTGATAATACGTCGTCGATATTTCTAAATGTCGAGTTGAAGGCCACTGCAAGATATTTCTTATTCTCATATATATAAGATTTTGAATAAGTTCTGCTTCAAATTAATACAAAAATAGGTCTGCTAACAACGGGGCGCAATTGGTACCCTTGGGTTGGGAATTCCAACAACATTTAATTCATTCTGACAAAGTGTCAGGACCTTCTTTTTCATATCTTTGCATTGAAATGTCATGTTGTAATTTTTGAATTGAACGGGTGGCATTAAATACAAAAATTACAATATGGCAAGTTGTCAATTACAATATGACAGAATTATCAATAATTGGAATATTTTTTGATGAAGAATTTACAATCCCATTTCAAACATTGCAAACAAACATATAAATGCTATTGTACATACCCAACTTTGGCAAAATACATAACAGGAGATACAGGATCAGCGAGGTGTGTTTTTGTAACCCAGTATAAAAGAGACAACTCGCGTCCAACTTGATGCGTGAGCTTGAGCTGTTATATGAAAAATTGACTTAGGCTGAAGTTGATATTTAAAAAAAAATGCTGGAGTTTAATGACAATATCTATATGTGTATGTACTAGATAGTCTTTGGAAACAGGTCATCCAACAGCCTGTTGGAATTCCCATGGACACAAATGCCATACCGTACTTCATTGGTGGACATGTTTTTGTATTACAAAGCATATACGGTCCCCTGGAAATTACAGAGGTGGGATCAGGGTCCCCTTTTACAAAAGAACTCACGACTAAGACCAAAAACTTAAGCTGAATGTAAAATCTTACAAAATTATCAATTCTGTTTAAAAAACTAGCTTGAGTAAAAATATCTCTTAGAAACTCTTTGAAAATACTTCCATTTTCAAATTAATGTAAAGAAGGAAGTTATTCACAAAACTACATTTTGGTCTTTGTCGTAAGTTCTTTTGTATAACGGGGCCCAGATGTCTAGAAGTAGTAAGCCTCATCTAACGACCAGTCACACCCGCTTGAGCCCTCTGTATTGTAAAACGGGGCCCAGATGCCTAGAAGTAGTAAGCATCGTCTAACGACCAGTGACACCCGCCTTGAGCCCTCTGTATCGTAAAACGGGGCCCAGATGCCTAGAAGTAGTAAGCATCGTCTGCCGACCAGTTACACCCCGCCTTGAGCCCTCTGTATTGTAAAACGGGGCCCAGGTGTCTACAAGTAGTAAGCATCGTCTACCGACCAGTGACACCCGCCTTGAGCCCTCTGTATTGTAAACGGAGTAAGCTGTTGTCGTAATTAGAATAAAACAATGGCCTAACTAAAGATATAAAACATGATTGTGGAATGACTTGGTCTCCAAAGACTACATAGATGTTGTCAGTAAGGAACTCCAACACTTTTTTCAAGGATCAGATCCTTGTGTAGCGATCTTTGTGAGCGGATCAAAGGATCTCATTTTAATCAGATTGACACATGTTTAATATCAACGTCAGAGTAACTGTGTATAGAATCAGAATCATATGGCTTATAACAAATAATTTTGTAGATGACCAATCACAAATGTAAAAGTATCCTAGTTCTATTTTGATTAAAGGAGAGTTGTCTATGACGCCGAAAAGCTTTATCTTTAATTTATAGTGAGGAATAGATTTTGATGTTGAAATGTCTTACTTCTTGATGATATTAATTTTGGAAAAGATTTTTTGAATCCAATTCTTAAAGTCCTTTGAAGTGTTTAAGATTCTACAATTGTTTCACACTACTTCTTGAATATGTTGTGGCACAGTGCATCTGAAGTTCCTCAAAACGGTTAATATTTTTGTGAGAAGTAAAGATAGAAGTTTGGTAAAGCATTTTCTAGACCCTGAAATGGATCTTCATAATGATTTTTATGAAGCTTTGGTATCTAGTATAGGTACGATAAATCAAATTCATTTTCCTTGACTGGAACGTGGTTTTGAAGAATTTAATTCTTTGAAAGGGAACAATGAGTAAAAGTTGGATAGTCAGATGTGAAGCTAAAACCAAATTCTTCTAAAATGCAGCTGTAATAAGATGCCACACAAACAAAGACATATGTTACAAGCCTTGTCAGCTGGAATCACAACAGGTTGTTCATGTCTTTCCAAGTTTTTTTTTATCACTTCCAGTTTACTGAAAACGAAAGGATAGATGGTATATATGCCGTTTTAATTGGCAAATACAATTATTCAATAAACTTTCAAAACACTTTAAAATCCATTCTGACAAAGTGTCGAGGTCTTTCCCCTCATAGTTAGCCCAGTTATATGGTGTACTCCTCGACGGAATTCATAATAGAAATGAAGTTTTGTCGCCTTTTCTAATTTTATGTCCGTGGGGTCAGAGTGAGGAGAGGGTCTAAAGACACTCCCTGTATTGCAATCTAAGGTCATAAACTCGAATCAAAGAGACAATGAGACTGTTTGTCTCGATGAGATAAGTATACTGAGATAATTTAATATTCATGCTACACTAAAATGAATAAATTGGAGGGAAGGGGGGTAAAGTCAGAAAACTACTGATGATACACATGTTTAAAATGGTTTTTTTTAGTTGAAATTTTGTCTCGTGATGTTTGGGGGAGGGGGTGTTTTTATTTCTGTTTATTTGATTTTTCTTCGATTGTACCCACATTTTTCTCCATAAACAAGCAATTATATTTTTATGGCCTAATATCACAAACAACCTTTTAAGCTTCTTTATTTCGTAACCCCCCTTCTCTCTCTCTCTCTCTCTCTCTCTCTCTCTCTCTCTCTCTCGGGATGTTTGTACATGTAAATACATGTATTTAGAGTCTAAAGCGGCCCCTGAAAACCAATGTTTGTTGTTCCTCCCTTACTTGAAAATCATTTGAGTAGTCAAAATTGATTATAAGTCTTTTTGATTAATCGAAAAATGAAAATTAGTTGGAAAAAATGATGATTAACAGAAAAAATGATAGTTTATCTTGGATGAAGGATCATCTGAGGATTACTGAGGTGCGTTTTTAAAAAGACAAAGAGAAACAACTGCAACTTAATGTTCTAGAGAAAGATGGTTATTTTTCCCATCAAAAAAACGTAATTAATACTAGTAATGCGCAGAAAAAAGGCATACTTTTTCAAGTATGGCGTTATGAAATGAATCTAAATACACTGAAATTCGAATCTAAAGGCATTATAACGCGAAAAAGGCATAATTATATAAAGGGCATAATAAAACTTAGAGAAAAGCGTACTTAATTATGCCTTTAATAAAGCAAATTGAAGTCTTTTCTTGTGCGAAAACGCTTTGATTCGCGTTAATAGACCTTTTGATTTATGTTATAACACCTTTTTGATTCGCGTTATGACGCCTGTTTACTTTGCCTGATGACGCCTTTTTGTGTGCTTTACTCCTTTTTATGCCCTCGAAAAAGAAGTTTAGGTTGGGTGTATATTAGAGTCAGCATGTCCGACTGTCTGTCCGTGAAGCTGTCCGCCTGTCTGTAGACATGATTTTGTTGGGACATTTTCTTAGAAACTACTGCTTAGATTTATCTGAAAATTTGTATTCCTTATTCACCATATAAAGATGTGCATCTGGTATTTTCATCATGATCGGATAATTTTTCTTTATTTTACAGGCCTTTTTTTCGTTTCTATGGACGTTGTCATTTTTTTTTTTAGATTTTATTTCTATAACTTAAGTACTTTAAGGCCTAAAACATCAAACTTTGTCAGCTGTTCCACCTTGGGAAGACGGTGTGTTGCACGTTTAAATTAGGTTACCGTAACCTTTAATTAAGATGATATAACCAAATATGGCAAAATATGTCGGGCTAACAACTGGAAAATTATTTGGCTGAGATTCATCAAACTTGGTCAGTAAATGCATCTTTGGTAGAAGGTGACTTATGTCGCACCCTACATTAAGGTAACTTTTGTAATGAGTAATATCAAAAAGGCGAAATAAGGCAAAGTGAAAGGCGTTAAGTACTGTGCCCTTTGTAAATATAACGCGGTGTTTGGTACAGGGCTCATTAAAGCTTATTGCAATCATGCATACACTTTGCTTACTAGATGTCCAGGTTTAATTAAAAATTTCAAATGTACACTGCGTATGAATTCTCAAAATACACAGGTATGATAACCAACGTAGCACTACAGCGAACACAGCGAAAATACAACCCAAAATGAAATTCATATTAAGTTTGTTTGAGAAATAAAAACTCAATTTGAAAAATATGCAAAGAGTGTGTCTGCTAGATTGAAGTTTTACCAAGGAAGAAAGATTTTCAAAGATATAATATATTTCCAATTAGTAAAATAGTTTGTCTGCTTGGTATCCAAGAGGGGAAAATATTTTTAAACGTGTGTTTCATTTTCAATATATGACCCGCTTAGCCTCACCCTTGACCCGAATTCTGAACTCAAGGATCATTTTTTTCCACATCCTTTGATATTTAATGTAGTCTACGGAGACTAGGTCTTCCAACAAACTGTTGAAATTCCAATGGGCACTTTTCCAATTGCGATTTTTTAAAATAACCGACCTGTTTTTATATTCTTATGACGCAGAATTTATTCAAAAACTTCTACATGAGAAGAATAACACACTTGCTGTGGCCTTCACCTCGACATTTAGATATCGACGACGCATTATCAATTAACAATAGTGATTTCCATTCATATGTCGACTCGATATATCCCAGTGAACTTGAAATTAAAGACACCACAGAGTTTGCCACATCTGTTTCATATTTGGATGTTTTACTGATTATAGGTAATAAGGGCAACTAACAACTAAATTATATGACAAACGAGATTACTTCAGCTTTTCTATCGTCAACTTTCCTTATGTAGCAATATTCTGTTACCACCTGCATATTCAGTTTACATCTTCCAACTTATTCAATACTCAAGAGCATGTTCCGAGTACGATCAATATTTAAACCAAGGGAGACTACTGACAGATTCATTGAAAGCTGATGTTAAGGGATTTCAACAACTTCATTTAAAGTCAGCATCTCGTAAATTCTATGGTCGTTATAATGACCTTGTTAGCAAATTTAACCTGTCCTTGGGTTGTATTTTGGCTGACGTGTTTCATACTAATTGTTAGTCCTTTGTTTTTATACAGGATTTGACTACGAAATGTTCTGTCTATCTGATCAAGACAGGGCCCATGGCGGATGTGACGGTCAACATGGGATGCTTACTCCTCCTCTGCACCTGATTCCACCTCTGGAATTTCCAGGGGTCCGTATTTTATGCCCCCTTCACTGATTTTATTGTTAATAGATTTAATTTAGATCGATCACTGTTCGGGCAAAATGCTTTTGTCGACCCATCGAACCTTAATGTTTGGTTCTTGGGTCCGACAAAATGTCTGGTACCCTTGATCCCAAATGATAAATGTATTATGTGCTTACGTCTCCCATCTTTTCAGACGTCCGTTTTGGTTCTTTTCATAATTTGTGTTGTTTAAATGGACTTCCGAAAATGACAACTGTGCGTTAGCTTAACATTTCATATTATATATATATATATAGAGAGAGAGAGAGAGAGAGAGAGAGAGAAATGCATTCTATGTATAATCTATAAACATAATCTTAAAATCAAAAGGTAAAAATCAACTTTTCTTGAAAATTGCATCTTAGGTAGATCATCATGTTAAGTTCAGCTATGTCAAGTAATCGAACTTTCAGATTCATTCTCAAGCTCCGGTGCAAATTCTTGGGAATGAATTGCTTCAGTAATTCCCAGCACTCTTGGCTTCATATATGCAGAACATTTCTTACACTGAATACTTTATAGTATTATACAGTTCAAGACGCTTTGAAAATATCTGAGATATTGATTCCTGGACGAGTACCCAATTTAAGTAAGTTCAATTAAAAGTTGAATTCTTGTCCGTTTACTCCGCTCGTCTGTACGATCGAATCAATCATAATCTTGTTTCAGTCAGACATTCTGTCGTCCATTATTGATTAGATCCAACGTTAACATTTGTTTCTTTTCGATGTTAATAACTTGACCAACGTTTTTATTGTAAATTTATTCAAAAATAAAGTGTACAAAATATTTCTAAATACATGTAAATCTTAAAGACAAAGATAATACAATTGAGTAGTTAAAAATGTAAAAATGACACAAAGGTTCCCCTATGAGCTAACGATTGTTTATATGCAATTTCAGATCTCCAATAAGTCATAAAGTTATTACATATGGAATACTTGCCAAGTTAAAGGGGAAATATTCATGATATTGCACATACTGGGGCGACTTAAAAATACGGACTAAGTGAGATCGTTGACGACAAATGGAAACATAAAACCAGCACCTACTGCCATTTGAAATCAAGTTCATGTTTCAGATGCTCCCCTGTGGTATGTTTCTTGTCCACTTGGAACGCTTTGGACAGAATTCCTCCAGAGAATGAAGATGACAATGGGGATCCAGAACTTGTTGAGGGGGATCCAACAATTGGAGAGGTAGGCTCGCCCTCAGACCCCATGCTAAATGACCTTATTCTCAGTGGTGGTGGAACTGGGGTTGTCTTGTGCTCCAGATCGTGTTTGATTTCATGTCGAATTCGTCCGTTCTTGTAAACGTCTACTCCACTGATGACGTTTTTCTCGGGGTGGAAATGTGGCATATCCACGTAGTTTCTCAACTCTCTCCTGTCCATGTTTTACTGAAAACATTTAGATAAGCCATTGTTCACAATATGCACGTTAAAAATATCAATATTTTGAAAGTATGTGAATAGTTTTAATTTAGGTGAACACTAACTTACCTTTGAAGAAGTTAAATTCTGATCACAAAGGCTGCTTCGAAGATTTATGAAGTCTAATTCTGCCTGCTTCTATTAAGTTCGATCGCGTGTTTCAAAGAAGCAAGGCCAGTCTAAGGCTTTATAAAGCTTTTCAATGAGTCACGTGGTATTGTTTACAAACAGTGCAAGCACTTTCCTTGACCTGGTTTACTTGGGAAACTGATAATAAACACGTAAGCACTTCTTTTGTTTGTTATAGTTTATATGAGTACAATGGTGAATCCTAGTAAATAAAAGACAAAATTAATCATTTGTTGCATTGGATAGGTTTCATGTATGTTTTGCATGACATTGTCATTTAATAAATATATCTTTTTAAACATTTTGATGTTGCCAGTATCCACTACATAACCCAAGATTCGTCAAAAAATGGACAGTGGAAATTAAATTCTTCGTAATTTAAAGATTTTCTGTCTTTTGATCTAGAAAACCTTTGTACAATGCATGACCTTATGATGAACCCGGCTAAGTTGATGTTGTGAACTCTGAAGTGCACCAGCTGGTCTTGTCAACACAAAAAGCAACCTTTTGCACATGCAATGTGCTAAAGAGGAAAATCAACTAAAAAACTGTAAATACACAAACATTTTGAATAATATCTCTATTTATGTACATTAATATAATATCTGTTTAACTGCAGAATTCAAAAATACACATGAATTGATTACAAGACTGTACTGTTCAAGGCCACACAACAATTTATACAAACGTCGTGCTACTAAAGTTTAAATGAAAACAAAATATTTGAAGACCTGAATGAACAGAATTGGAGGAATATGAAGCGAGTGCAATGGTCTACGAAGAATTTCAAAATCAACAATTTATATGGAATGTTCTATACCAACTATTGAATCACGTTTGTTTATCGTACCACTGACTTGAACAAACATAATTATTTCAGAAAGTTGTTTATTTGATGACATAATTCGTCTGGATGAAGTCAAATTTTAATCAAATAAACAATATCGGCAGGATCTTCAAATCAATATACACACACATGCAGACATTAATGTATTGGGGAGGGGGTACATAGTAATTATACTTGTACAGTAACATCGATGTAATTGAAACAGGTTTTCTCCCATCGCCAATCAGGAAAAAATCAGTTATAAATGCTACTGTAGGCATGTTTACAAGATCGGAAAATTATATCTGACCTCATTTTTTATGCAATTACATGTAAAGACAAAACAATCAAGATTTACCAATCAACCGTCATGACCTTGTTCTTATTCCAAAGAGAGACAATATCAATTAGATATTGCTTTTCCCTCCAGAGAACGAGGAATTTATTTTAAACCTAAGATCAGTAAGCTAAATTTATGTACATTTATTTTTGTAGAACTTAAATACGTCTCCCAATAAAGATATAAAGAAGATGAAATAAGAGGTACAAAAGCTCATTCGACATTCCCTGTGCGATCTTAATTAATTCTAAAGAATAGAGGCCACTCTTTTGACTCTTTGGATTTTTTTTCTTTGTAAATTCTAGAAATCACAGATCTTACATGTACATGTGCATTTCCAGGGGCTTCTGTCAAGGATTCCCGTTTTTGGATATGAACAATGACTGGGAGATCTCAGTCACAGTAAACTGAATGTACATTTGTTATCACTCTGTCTCATCCCCTTCTCCTCCCATAATGCTCCACCTCCCTTTCCTCCTATTTTCCCCCCTTCTTTTAATCCCCTCCCCTTTTACCGTCCCCCTTTCACCATTTTTGATAAGTACTTATGAACGACCTCTAAGGAAACCAGCAGTCTCACACTTACATAGTCCTCTATTTTTATAAGTTATTTAAGAAAATGCAGCAACAATTGTTCTTAGTTTGTGCCATATACATTTCAAAACTGTGTAATATATTTAAACATAAGTTAATATTAGCAAACATTTATTATTATATTTTTTTACATGTACATTGTCTTACTTATAAGTAATTTCCTTTGGTCGAACACTTTATAAATTTCCTTCTTTTAAACAATTCATTAGAATGATTCTGATGAATTGTTAGAATTAATACATGTATCAGGCTTCAATGAAAAGAAATGTGATATCATTCAAATTTAATATTGTGCATTTTGAAAGTTAAACACGAGTTTTCGCTGATACTTACCGGTACTTGATGTCAACATAAATTTTTCTGCAAATGATAAAACTTACCATGCATATCCATGTTTAACTTTAAATCACTGTTCATGAATCAGGTGAGAGAAGTGGTAGGCTATATGAGGTTTGATTGAGATCTTAACCTAAAACAAAGTATAATTTTTTTGCATAGAAATTTTTATTTAAAATTAAAGAGTACAAAATACTGCGGATTATGCCTGTAATGCGATTACATCTAAATTGAATAAATAACTGCAAAAATAAAAGAAGGTAAACACCTCATTAAAAACAAGGAGCAGGGAGAACATAAATTCTTGTGGAGAGACCAAAAGATACAATTTCTAGATCGTTGACCTCGATGACGTACATAATGACTATTGCTATAGAAATTCTACCTACTCCTTAGATGTGTTTCACCAGTTGTACGTCCTTGTATTTGAAGTTCCGTCTAATAGATAGAATTGAAAGAACATGAAAATTCTATACCAAAGCTTTGCAAAAACCATCAAAAATCAACAATTTATATCAAAGGTTCTATCCTAGTTACTGAATCATGATTGTCTATCGTGCTATTGACTTGAGCAAACATTATTATTCAGTTGTTTATTTGCTGATCAAAGTTGTCTAAATGAAGTCAAATCTTTTAATCAAATAACCAATATAGACAGAATCTTCAGATCAATACTCACACAGACTGGGGAGGGGGCATAGATTAAGTACACGTTTTAGGTCGTGCATAGTACCTTTACAGTAAAAGCATAATTGATACATGTTTTCTGTATTCGACAATCAAGAAAAAATAAAACACTTATAAATGCTTATATAAGCATGACCAGGAAATTAAATCTGACCTAATTTTCAGAGGACAAAAACAATCCACAATAACAAATCAGCCATCGTGACTTTATTCATATTCCAAAGAGAGACAGTATCAATTAGATTGATATTACTTTTTTCCCTGGAGAACTTGAAATTTGTTATATAAGCTTAAGATTAGGGATGGCAACGAATATTCGAACATTCGAATATTCATTCGATGAGTTGATATTCGAATATGAATTTAAGATTCGAATATTCGGTGTTTTTCAGATTTCATAAAAAGAAGTACTGTGATTAATAAATTTTGATTAGAACAGTGCTGGAGTTGTCCCTGTTTAATTTACTAGCGATCAATTTCTTTCACTACTTTCTTATCTTATAAATCTACTAAAAGTCATGTATTTTGTTTTGAGTAGGGTGTTAAAGAATTGTACAAAAATGCTTTATGTATAATACAAAACATACTTTCATAGCTTTTATTAGTTAGATACGATCGGATCTAGAATCGAGGACAAAAATGAAATCTTAGAATGTCTAAAAGGCGTAAAGAGTATACTTATCAAAATAAAATTAATTGATCATTGAATGAAAGTCCGATAGAATTAATCTGTAATTAATATTGTAAAGGGCTTAATTTAAGAATAAATGTGTAAATTCCTTGATTATCTCGGGTTGTACATAATCCTGAATTTTATATTCATTATCGGGAAATTAGTTAATTACCTAGGAAAATTGTCTATGGAAATATTAGTTTACATTGTATCAAAGATTATAATTATATCTCTTATCAGGCAGATAATTGTAATTTATTACACGTATTGGAATCTGAACAGAATACCGTTACGACTATCTTGCCTTTTGTAAGACGACTGGTTCCTCAGTTGGAGCTACTATAAATATACGTTTCATTTGTTAAAATTATACTTTTCTACATTTAAATCAATTATTTATTTGAAACATTGAGAAATATCAATTGGAATTTCTTATTGTACACCTACAAAAGTCCTCATACAATTTTACTTCCAATATAAGTATACCTACGCTAAACCTTTCATGAGAGTAGGATCATGGTACATATATTTAAAATAAAACAGATTTATTTATTTTATCGAACATTCGAATATATTCGAATACTTTCATTGAATATTCGAATATGAATTATTGACAAAATTGACATCCCTACTTAAGATCATATGTTTTCAGAACTAAAATCTATGCACATATTTTTTTGTAAAACTGAATTCGTTCCCAGTACAAACTAGAAAGTAACATGAACTCATTAGGCATCACCAAAACGATCATTGTTTCAAAAACAGAGGCCTCATGCATTTCTTTTTTAATCTTTCGATTTTTACTGTAAATTCTGAAAGTACAAAGATTTTTACAATTCTAACAAATATGCATTAAAGATTATATCAAATTTGTCAAAGATTCACACTTTTGGTTCTGAATGACTGGAATATCCCCAAGAACAATTAAAAGTAACTTAAATGTATTAACAACGTCTCCATCCTCTTCTTTTCATCTCCCCTTTCTTCCCCCTTTTCCCTCGTTCTCTACCCCCTTCTCTTCACCCCCTCCCCTTTTACTCATATTTGATGAGTAATTATTGAAGGTTTTTAAAAAATCCAGTAGAGTCATGTTTATTTGTTCCTCTATTATTATAAATTATTTAGCTAAAACGTCAACAATTATTACGAGCTACCACATACATTTTCAAATCAAAACAAGTTAGTATCAGCAAAATTTTACATGAACTATTTATGCTGATTTTCTTTGGTATTCAATGTATAACGACCATATTTTGTATCTAATAAATGAACTGTCCTATATTTGTAATAATGGTATCATTTTGAAGGTGTTGTGAAATAAAAATACTCCACCAAAGAAATTTACAAAATTTTGATTATTGTCAAATTAATTGAACCTTGAATTTTACATTGAAGTCTATGGGCAATGCATGTGTTATTTAGATATTGTAAAAAAAAAATTTTGAATTTTATAAAAAGCGCTTGGTGAAAATATGCATACACTCTCTCTTTATTAAAATATGAAATAAAATTAATCATTTACCACAGATATTTTGACGAAATTAAAATTTCTTCTTTGCACCAAGGGCAGATAACTCTTCAGAAACTTTCAAAGTGCAAAATGACCAGCGTCTTATATGAAATCAGTCATGTGAATTTGGTTTATTTCTCTTTCATCGTTTTCTAGCAGTGCATTTTTAACTAGTTTAAAATGATTCAAAATTGTTCAAAATCCCTTCATTATACATTGAATACCTTAATTTATGAATATTGTACCATTCTGTTAAACTAAAACTTTACAATATTAGAGTTAGTAATAAATCAGGTTACAATGAAAAAGATACTTACATGATATTCAAAATTTACTATTGTGTAAGCGAAATGCGAATTTTTGCCGATACTTACTTGAAGTGAACAAAAGTCATGCATTTTGTACAAATAATAGAATCATATAATTTTATACATCCTTATGTTTAATTCTAAAATATTTTTTTCTTCCTTTTTTCTTCACTCCAATAATTTCCTCCAAATGATTCAACATAAATCAGATGAAAGAGGCGGTAGGCCATACTGAGATTTGATTTGAGTTCTTCGCATTAAACCAAGTAGATCATTCTTTGCATAGAAATTTTATTTTTAAATTAAAGTGTACTTAATACTGCTGATTTTTTTTTAAATACAATGTATGTGTACCAGTATATTAATAAGAATAATAGAAGGTAAATAGCATTAAAAACAAGGAACTGGACAAACATTCATTTGGAGTGACCAACGATACAATGGCTTTAGATCATTAACCTCCGAGTCTTAATTAATGTCTATTGCCAAAGAAAGTCTAGCTTCTCCTTGAAATCTCACCAGTCGCATGCGTCCTATCTCTTTCAACTTCAATCTGTCGAATAGATAGAATTGAGGGAATGTGTTCTATACCAATGCTTCACACAAGACTTTCTAAATTTAAAAATTTATATCCCGTCTCTTGAATCCCGCTTGTGTATCGTGCCATTGACATGAGCAAGCTTAATTATGTCAGAAAGTTGTTTTTATTTGATGACCAACGTTGTCTGCATGAAGTCAAATATTTAATCAAATTAACACTATATTCAGGGTCTTCAGAACAATACTCATATATAGTCAAATGAATAATGTTTTGGGTAGTAGGGGGTAGTAATTTCATGTTTTAGGTCATGGTACTTTTACAGTAAACTCGATATACGAGGGGTGATCAAAAAGTTCGCGAACTAATTGAATTACTTTCTTAAAAGAAATAAAATGAGGTTTCGGTGTTTATTTTTTTTTAAAGTAGTCCTCTCCGATTTTGTTGCACGTCTGCCATTGGTCTGCCCACGCGCGAATCACGTGATCCAAGCAGTCACGTGACATGCTCCGTAGCAGTCTGTTCACAGAAGCTGAGAAATTTTTCCGAGTCTTATATTTCTTACCATGCAAGTTTTTTTTTTTATTACAAAAACAGTCCATCTGTCAGAAATGGCCAAATCTCCGCAATATGATGGGTGAATAAGGATATCCCTTCCCACAATTAGTATGGTGACCCATCACAACCCGAGTCCTCTGTCTCGGGAGCGTCGTTCATCCAATGTGGATAAAGAATGGGCGCCTTCTTTTTTTCATATCTCATATGTTTAATGTCTAAAGTAAACGATATTTTAGGGATTTAATGATTATATTATTGTTGAGATATTCAACCATTTTTCTAATTATAACTTGACGAGGTTTCATAAATTGCTCAACTAAGGACACATCTTTTCCCCGGCTTGCTTTCGCTGGGCAACAGAACAAACATCATTTTAACCATCTCCCTGCCTTTACTTAAACAATGAATCCAATTAATGATTGAACTTCTGATAAGTCTTCTTTCTTCATAAACCTTGTACAAATTATCATATTCTATTGCAAAGGAATTTCCAAGATATACGTTAAACTTTACAGCCGTTCGTTGCTCGATTACGACTGAGTCAACCATTTTTTGTCACAAGTGACCTACATATTGACGTCTTTTTCACATTGTGACGTCACAAACACGGAGCAAAACATTATTAAACATCTGTTATTTATAGAACATGTGTATGACTATTCAATATGTGTGCAAAATTTCACTCTGATCTGAATTGTGGTTTTCTAAATATAGAGATAGTTCCCGAACTTTTTGATCACCCCTCGTAATGTCATCGTCAATCAGGAACAAACCAGTTATAAAATGCTACTACTAAGCATATTTACAAAATTAGTTAATTATATCTGACCTAATTTTCATTTGATTAGGACAAAACAATCAGCAATTTAACAATTCAGCCATCGTGAATTTGTTCAAATTCCAAAGAGAGACAAGACAATCAGAGATGATGGTATTCTTTCCCCAGAGAACTTGGAATTTTTTACAGGCTTATTGATTTATGATAAGATCGTTTGTTTCCAAACTAAAATTTGTGCACATATATTTTTGTAGAGCTTCGTCTCTTTTAAACAAAGATTTTAAAAATGAAGAACTAAATGGCACACAACCATTTGATTCTGAAGGGGAGTGGCAGATTTTGGAAATGAATATTCGTTCTTGAGAGTGTTGAAAAATAATCTGCAGGTTCTGAACTGGCAATGAAATAAATAATCTGTCCTTGTCTGCTGCCACGATCCCACTCCACCCCACCCCACAAAATCGAGGTTTGGAGGTCTTCCTTTTATATTTGCTTGTCAAACTTTCTCAAGTGAAAAAAAATATTAATATTCTGTCCTTAATCTTCTCGAAAATAATATGTCCTTGACTGGCATGAAAATAAGTAATCGGATTAAAAGAAAAGATAAGAAAAACCCAGCTCCCTATCCTTCCTCAGAATAAAATGGTCGCCCCTTTAGACATTTGCAGTACGAGCTTTATTTCAAGGAATAAAGGCCACCGTTTTCCATTCTTTCGTCTGTCTGGAACTTTAATATAAATGTCTCTATCCCATTCTCGTCCCATTCTTCTTATTCAACCCCCGTTTCCCTTTTTTCCCTTATCCATCGCCCTTTCCCATTTTTCTTCATCCTCTCCCTTTACTGCCCCCCCCCCCCATTTTTGATGTCTTATATAAGGACTCTGAGGAAAAGACAGACTCGCCCTTATCTGTTCCTCTAGGAGAAGCGATTTATTAATGCATCAACAATTGTAATTAGTTTGTATCGCAAACATTTTTAACACTTTTGTAATATATGCAGTACTAAATACCAAAATCTTCTATATTTGTAGGTGTACTACTTTTGCTAATGTATACCTTGGTATTATTTTATAACAATATTCTTTAGTTATAAACAATGTAATACATGATTTAAACTATTTTGTCAAGAAACCAAATACGAATTTTTTTTGTTGATACTTGATTTGAACATAAAATTTTTACATTATTTTTCCTATAAACCCATTCAATTCTTACAGTAATTTCCTCACACACTGCGATGTGACCAAACGATATGATGATGTTCATAATGTCTATTGCCAGAGAAAGTCTAGTTCTTCCTTTAAATGTTTTTCACCACTTGTACGCGTCCTGTCTATTTGGAAAGCTTTGGTCAGAAATCCTCCTGAGAATGAAGATGATAATGGGGATCCAGAACTTGTTGAGGGGGATCCAACAATTGGGGAGGTAGGTTCGCCCTCAGACCCCATGCTATATGACCTGATCCTTAGTGGTGATGGAGCGGTGATTGTCTTGTGCTCCAGATCATGTTTGATTTCATGACGAATTCGTCCGTTTTTGTAAACGTCTACTCCACTGATGACGTTTTTCTCAGGATGGAAATGTGGCATATCCACGTAGTTTCTCAACTCTCGTCTGTCCATGTTTTACTGCAAAGAGAGTTTTAAAATAAAATTATGCTGTATTATACAATGTCTTAAAAACAGAAAATTGAAGTACGCTAGGGAAAAGGAGAATTACAGAAAATATTTACCTTAATTATAATCTTCTATAGTCAAGTTTATGTTCATATAAACTGCGTCGATGCTTTTATAAAGCTTTTATTTAAACCACGTGGTATTGTTTACGATCTGCGTTTGCCTTAAACCACGTGGAATTGTTTACAAACATTAGAATGCTCGATCCTTCGATCGGATCATCCTTGTCCTACTTAAACGACAGACAAAAACACAGATGTTTATGAAGAGTTTCAATTAAAAAAATGTTTTCATTATACGTTTAGAAAGATTTTTAGCATGTTTTATTTGGTGCATTAGAGAATATAGACGTATAAATATATTTATAGAGGTAAATCCAATAGGATGTGATTTCTGACCGACAACTGCCAGAGCGATAACATACATTTGCAGATCGATAAATCCACTGTAAACAAAGTTTTATAAACCATGCATAAAGAGTACATTTGGAGGGAATCAATATTTTTTTTAAATTATTAGTTTCAACTTATTGGTATAATTAAATATAGTATTTGTCTATGTTTTTGGTGGGTATTTTATATTAATAGAAGACAATCAAACGAGTGTAAATTAGAATAGTAGGTTCGATATTGGCTTTGACATTAGCTAGTAAACTATCCTAGGGTATCTTCTGACACAATACACAAGATTACTTGTTTTAATTATCTACAATGGATTGGCAGTAGCCTTGACCTTTAAATTGATCTTGAAGTTGATCAATAAAAGCTGTTACGGATGATTAACTCTCTGCTTCATCTTAAAGCTGCAAGTTTACGTAAATCAAGATTAAAGGTTACAAGAGACAGGCTTTAATAAGTTTTAGAACTCATGCCCATGCAATTCCTTAGTACTTATGAATTATAAAATATGTTCAAATCAACCAGTTGTTGGAATGAGTTGACCTTGGCCTTGACTTTTGACCCTGAGAATGGTAAAGGGAGACACTAAGTTTCTTGATCAAGCATGATTAATTTTGATTATATCTTCATCGATAAGTTTACCTGGATTAAAAATTTCAAATGCAAAATTTGTGCTTAACCTTGGCATTGACCATTTTTCTTGTAATTAGCAAACTAAACAGTTTTATCTCCTATAATAATTACCTTTTTATAATAACCTTTGCATACAGATCATTATCTCCATCACCATCCTACTTCTTCATCAATATTACTGTCATGATAGTGGCATTATAATTGAAATTGTTTTGACCATCAGGTTTTTTATGCCCCCGGATCGAAAGATTCCGGGGGTATATTGTTTTTGTCCTGTCTGTTTGTTTGTCTGTTTGTCCGTGTGTCTGTTTGTCTGTCTGTCTGTTGAACTTTAACCTTGCCCATAACTTTTTATTGGTTGGAGCTATGACTTTCATATTTCACATGTGTATTCCTTGTGACAAGACCTTTCTTTGGGTACCATCATAGTTGACCTTTTGACCTTGACCTTGGAGTTTGACCCCTTTTGCAAAATTTTATGAGACTTTAACCTTGGCCATAACTTCTGAACAGTTGGTGCTTGGGGTTTCAAACTTCACATGTGTATTCTTTGTGACAAGGCCTTCCTTTGGATACCAACAACTTTGACCTTTTGACCTTGACATAGGAGTTTGACCTACTTTTGAAAAACTTCAACCTTGGCCATAACTTTTGAATGGTTGATGCTAGGGCTTTCATACTTCACATATGTAATCCTTGTGACATAACCTTCCTTTGGATACCAACCACTTTGACCCTTTAACCTTGACATAGTAGTTTGACCTACTTTCGCAAAACTTTAACCTTAGTCATAACTTTTGAATGGTTGGTGCTAGGGCTTTCATACTTCACATATGTAATCCTTGTGACATAACCTTCCTTTGGATACCAACCACTTTGACCCTTTAACCTTGACGTTTTACTTACCTTTAAAAAACTTTAACCTTCGCCATAACTTTTGAACAGTTGCAGCTAGGGCTTTCAAATTTCACAGGGATATTCTTCAAGACAAGACCTTTCTTTGGGTATCAACATTTTTTATCTTTTGGCCTGGATTTTGACTTGCATTTGAGAAACTTTAACCTTCACCATAAGATGCCATACGGGGGCATCAGTATTTCACAAACACATCTTGTTCTCCTTGGAGAATGGCCTGATATGTTTTTTATGCCCCCGGATCGAAAGATCCCGGGGGTATATTGTTTTTGTCCTGTCTGTCTGTTTGTCTGTTTATCTGTTTGTCTGTCTGTCTGTTGTCAACTTTAACCTTGCCCATAACTTTTGATTGGTTGGAGCTATGACTTTCATATTTAACATGCGTATTCCTTTTGACAAGACCTTTCTTTGGGTACCATCATATTTGACCTTTTGACCTTGACCTTGGAGTTTGACCCACTTTTGCAAAATTTTATGAGACTTTAACATTGGCCATAACTTTTGAATGGTTGATGCTAGGGCTTTCATATTTTACATATGTAATCCTTGTGACAAGACCTTCCTTCGGATACCAACAACTTTGACCCTTTGACCCTGACATAGAAGTTTGACCTACTTTTGAAAAACTTTAACTTTGGCCATAATTTTTGAATGGTTGGTGCTAGGGCTTTCATACTTCACATATGTAATCCTTGTGACAAGACCTTCCTTTGGATACCAACAACTTTGACCTTGACCTTGATGTTTTACTTACTTTTAAAAAAATTTAACCTTCGCCATAATTTTTGAACAGTTGCAGCTAGGGCTTTCAAATTTAACATTTTTTATCTTTTGGCCTGGATTTTGACTTGCATTTGAGAAACTTTAACCTTCGCCATAAGCTGCCATACGGGGGCATCAGTGTTTCACAAACACATCTTGTTCTCATTTATTTTCACACAAGGCAGGATAAGATGATGTGTAACAGGATCTTTACATTGATTTTGTTTGAAATATACTTGTAAATGAAAAAAATTAATAATTGTAGTTGATTAACTATCCGTTTTTCACCTTTTTTACACTAAAAAGTAGAATGTAGGTGTTTTAAATTTCGATTTTACAAATTGTATGAGTCTTTGGTAAACTTTAAGATATTTCCACCAGGTGTCTCGAGAAAACTGCTCCTTTCATCCCAGTAACAAACGTTGTTGGAACACGGAAGATATTGTGTAGCTATGAGCCAAAATGTATTACTGATTAAGTGTAAAATTTCTCTAATGTACTTGTAGCTCACAAATGATCTGCATGGATGGTTGTACTTTGCGATTCGTTCTGACAGTGTAAATGAGTTGTAAGAAGTGCACAGTGGATCAAAAACACGAAGGACATATCTGTGTGTGTTTATAGGGCACCCGTCTGGAACTAGGTTTCTAAAATTTCATTTCCTCGGTTTGTAAACATTGCTTAAACTCTTTAAAGAATGGGGGCAAGGGGTTAAGAGGCGGTAGGTGGGAAAGAATTTGAGGGTGAAAATAGGATTATATATGAGGGGCAAGATTGGAGGAAATCTCAAAGGATATCCCACTAATCTGAAGCCAAAACAATTTCACTAATGATGCCAATATTAGGATCACCTCATCTTGATGAAGTATGACTATATGAAAATGCTGATGGATATTCAATAAAATTAGAAAAATCGTTTAATTGCATGGTTTATTCTTCCACCATTTGTGGTCTTTGAGTATGCCAGGAATAAATTTTTAATGATTTTGGACAATAATCTAGGTTTTAAATTTTAAGAACACTTCATTTAGTACAAATTTACAGGTACGCATTATTTTGTAGATCTGAAGTTTATAAAAATTTTTGATTTTTCTGACCTAAATTTGCAATGTTTTCGAATTCAATTTTAGCGTGACAATTTTTATTAATCAAGCACACTGTGAAGGATCCCTCTGTCAATAATTTGAACGTATTAATCAAATTACATTCTGTCTGTAAAACAATATAGTTAAATGATTGAACTATACTCGATTTCATTGTAAATGAAGCTATTTTAACATGCACATCATACATTTGTTTACCACAACACTGGTGACTCATCTATTGACAAGATCTGTAAGTGCAGACATGCTGTAAGAGTGCTCTGTACTAGAGATACTTTCTATGCGACGTGATGATTGCAACGATTTTCATGCATGATTCATAACTAATGCAAACACATGTGCATCATGAAATAGATAGTATAATTACGATTCGACAAAGAAGAGCACTGCAAATTATAGGTCTAGATTCTCCAAACCCATTTTTAATTTAAATAAAAATATTAAAACAGAATGTACGCATTATTTTCACCTGGTTGTATTACTTATTGTAACATATTGTAATATGAATATCGGTTTCTGATTCTAATACACTATATAAGAACACTTTACAGAGCTTTATGCCTCTTTCTAAATTGTATCTTGTCGCTGTTTTTCTATTACTAACAAAATTTAATACTCAGTGATTAATGACGCATGACTACTAGTAAATAAAAGGTTTACTTTATATTTTTCTAAATGAGCATTTCTATATGCAGTCTGTCCAGTTTTACTTAAGTAAGTTGCTGTCCGTTCCTAAATGTGATGGACAGGACGCATACATTGGTCTGTTTGTCTGTCTATCTCGAAAATAATGTTTGGTTTAGAATCCTTGAACTCTTGATTGTCAGTCTGTTGTTGCTTGCTCCCGAATGTGTGTCTTGATTTTCACTCGATATAATATATCAGGTCAAAGTCACATCCCCATGAAATATTGAAGTCGTTGTCTAGGCAACAATCATTGAATATGGAAAAAAAAAACATTTTTACTTGATTGTCCTTTGTACGAACATGTTAGGGAAAAAATATTCAAAATTCTTAGATGTTATTACTTTATTCACATAAACTTGTATCTACATATGTCTACAAAACAAATTTGTTTATATATCAGAGACAGTTTTGATGTTAAATTGAATTTGAATCCTTGTGCTAGAAATGGATTCAAACTTTTTTTTGTTGATATCCATGACCTGAATTTATGTCGTGGACCAATGTTGAAAAGAAAAAGAAATATGCACAGCTTTGATAATCAGAGGTAAAATATTGGGAAAAGGGATGGTGAAGAAACTTGTTTTGAAAAAAGAAACGTCCATGTGAAAAAGGTTCTTATGCCATAGTGCCGAAAAGCTGAAGTCGCACAATTCTTGTGCGTTGCGGAATGAAATTCAAAACAGCTGTTTAAAAAATAACGACGTCTTCCCTGAACCTCAATAAATTAGGACGCCGAAAACAGCAAGTGACGCTACAAAGTTTGTAAACATAATTCTTAGATGTTAAATAATGTATAATATTGTATTTATATAATCTAAGTTGTATGACCGTACTGAATAAGCATGCAAAATAAATTTTCATTCACGAACATGTATAGAATTATGTTTAAAAATAAATTGAATATGATAAATATTTAAGTAATTTGTTTATATAGCTTATTTAAAGCATAACAAAAGCATGTTTACGTGGCATTGGGATTTTTTAATCATGTGACCACTTTTAAAATGACAGCTGTGGTTTCATTTTTCCTTTTTGTTTACAAACATTGCGTAAGTATATAAGGGGAAATACACCACTACTTATCAATTCAGACTCATACAGAGATAGAGACGATTCAAATTTTACAAATTCAAGGTAAGTGGACATTTCAGCATCTTTTTATCTAGACTAATTAATTATTGGATTATTGAATTTCGTCTAAATAGCATGTACAAGCATTGTCTTTTGAGAAGAATCACTTATGAAGTCTCGTTTATTAATTTTCATTTTTCATTTATAACTTCAAATTGAAAATCCATAAAGACAAAACAAATAAATGATTCATTTTTCAGCGAAATACGTATGTACACCAGAAAAGCTTATCTATAATTTTATTTATTTATTATTTTTTATCATCTATAGATTTTTTATTTATTATTTTATTTTAACTATATTTTTTTAATGTATTATTTTATTTTTTGTCAATGAAATATAATACGAGTAATTTGTTCTTTCCATATCCAGACTAACATTATGGACAGAAGAGAGTTGAGAAACTATGTCGATATGCCACACTTTCATCCGGAGAAAAATGTTGTCAATGGTATCGACCTGTACAAAAAGGGGAGGTTCATCCATGAGATCCGACATGAGATGGAGAAGCATTCGTCTCTGGAACCAATGAGGGTCCGTTCCAACAGTACAGGGTCTCAGGGCGAGCCTTCCACTCCTGTTGGGTCCCCAACTTCTTTAGCATCTCAAAGCTGGTACCATAAATGGGCGTAAACCTATCTTTATAGAAACAATTTGACGAATGGTGATATGATTTAATGACCAACTAACCTATACGAACAGTATCCACACTTTGGACAATTGAACAGACTATAGGACAAAGTTGTACTTGAACCCTAATCAGGGATACAAATTCTGATGAATTGTTTTGAACAATTGAATGTGAAATGATTTTGATATGTCTGTAATTTGCTGTAATTTGTGCAGCCTGTTTGCCTCTATTGTATTATTGTTAATGGTAGTGTACTCATAGTGAATATGCTTTATCATTTTTATACATAATTTAATTTGAATGCAGTTGTGTTTTATTTATTTACTTTTGAAATAAAACTTTCAAAGTGGGTTTGTATATGTTCTTCTCCTTCTTTCAAGTATACTCCAGCTAAATACACCATTACTATACTGATGTGAGTATAGTTCAAAATAACGACCCCAAAAATCATTTTAAAAGGTCTTAAATTCATCGAGCCCAGATCTTTCAAGTGGCGACATAACTTTATTTTTATTATGAATTTCTTCTAGGACTATGTTATACGATGGGCTAAATATGAAGAGGAAGATCTGGACACTCTGTCCTCTCAGAATAAAGTTTTCTAGATACATGTATATTTAAGAATCGCATTAGAAAATTAAACGGAAAATGCGAACTTTCTATCCTTCCGTTTTAAGTAGACCAGAAGTGATAAAAGAATTAGAAAGACTACATGAAAAATATGTTTTGGTTAAAACTGACAAAACTTGTAACTAACAAATACTGTATAGTAGTCTTTGCTCTTTATTACAATTGCATTTAGAAGAACTCAGTTTTACTTATACGTCTGGTAATCCAACTTATACTCAGAGTTCCCTTTCAAAAGATGGAATTCTTCAAAATCAAGTTTTAGATTTATAACGTTCCAGTCAGATTTACCGTATCATTACCAGCTTGCAAAAATCTATTGTCTTGCAGGTCCAGTAAATGTTCGACCAAGCCTCTATCCTTATTGCTCACCAAAATATTAACTGCAGTGAAGGTGAAACTTCAGACGTATTGTACTTCAGCTAATTCAAGAAGTGGTGTAAATCAATTGTGGATTCTCAAACATTCTAAGAACTTTTTGACAATTTTAAATCACAAAACTTTTCTAAAATCAATAGAATCTAAGCACATGACTTTTCTGCGCCATATACAAACATTCCTCAAAACCAAATTAAAAAGCAGGCTTTATGACATCATAGACAACTGCTTTTTTAAACAAAAATGTGACCCCTAAATTTTCATAACCTGTCAGAAGTAATTTACAAAGTTACTGTGATAAAATTTATTGTGATTCTACACACAAGTACCCCGAAGTTGATATTAAAAAGATGAAAATTCCTCGTTGACAACATCTATGTAGTCTTTGGAGATCAGGTCCTCCAAGGATCTGTCAATAATCCAGGGAATTTCGATGGGCACTAATTTGCTCCTTTATTTGCCAACATGTGTTTATATTCCAATGAAGTAGAATTTATTCAAAAACTTCTACAACAGAAGACCACTCTTGCTATGGCTTTTTTTTAGATACATCGTCAGCGTTTCATCAATTGACAATGATTACATTTTACTAACATTCCTATATCGACTGATATATCACATATCTTAGGTATCTTTTATTTCAAGCTCATTGGGATATATCCTGCGGAAGCCCATTTAGAACCTATCGAAAAATATTTTTGATTTCGATATAACAAATTGTCAAATTTTTTATAACGAATTTAATTCGTTATATCAATCTCTTTGAGTTCGTTATAACGAATTTAATCTGTTATAACAAATTTATTGAATTTGTTATAACGAATTCTAAAATTTGTTATAACGAATTAAATTCGTTTAATCAAATTCAACAATCGGGGCCTATAAAATAATATATTTGAATTCGATATAACGATTTGTCGAATTCGTTTTAACGAACTTAATTCGTTATAACAAATTAAGGAATTCGTTTTAACGAATTTAATTCGTTATAACAAGTTTTAGAATTTGTTATAACAAATTAAATTTGTTATAACAAATTTTTGAATTCGTTATAACGATTTCAATAAATTTGTTATCACAGATTGAATTCGTTATAACGAATTCAAAGAAATTGTTATAACGAATTAAATTCGTTATAACAAATTCGACAATTCGTTATATCGAATTAAAAAAATATTTTTGATAGGTCCTAGAGGGGCTTCCGTAATATCGAGTCGACATATGAATGGAAATAACTCTTGTTAATTAATAATACGTCGTCGTTATATCTAAATGTCGAGTTGAAGGCCACAGCAAGTGTATTCTTCTCCTGTACAAGATTTTGAATTAATTTTGCTTCGTATGAAAACAAAAATAGGTCTGCTAATAACGGGGCGCAATTGGTACTCATCGAATTCCGACAGATTGTTGTAAGACCTGGTCTCCAAAAACTACATAGATATTGTCAATCAGAAATTCAAGTATCTTTTTATGTTAATTTCATAGTATTTGTTTGTACAATTAGAATGGTTTTATTAACAAAATAAACTTGCAAATGACCAATGACAAGGTAAGTAAATTTACGAGTTCCATTTTTATTGAAAAAGCAGCTGTCAATGATGTCAAAAAGCCTTGACTTTACTTAATCGTAGCAAATTTTGCTATAAAGTGTTGAAAAGTTGTGTTTTGATGTTATTGATTTTGGTAAAATATTTTGATTTCAAATTGTTTAAAAGTTCCTTGGAATTTTTAATAATCCACATCTGATTCACACCACTTCTTGAATATATTGTTGTACAGTACTCCTGGTGTTAATATCTTTATGAGGAGTAAAGAAAGAGGCTTGGTAGAACATTTACTGGAACCTACTATGTATCTTTGTAAGGATTTTAATGAAGTTTATGAATTCCATATAGGCATGGTAATTCAAATTCATTTATATTCTTTGGAATATTAATAAACATTTAAAACTGACATATGATTTTGAAGAATTTCCTCCTTAGAAAGGGAGCTATGGGTATAAGTTGGATTACCACTTGGTAATCCCAGTAAATCCCAACCCCTCTAAATTCAATAAAAATAACGAGCCTTGCAAACAAAGACAATGCTATTTCCTGCTTTTTCAGCTGGGACCAGTACAAACTGATCGTGTAATCTATCTAATTCTCTTTTCACTTCTGAGTTATTGAACACAGAGAGACAGATGGTTTTCATATTGCCCCTCAGTTGCTTCATGCGAGATTGTAACATCCATCTGATACATTTAATCCATTCTGACAAAGTGTCAAGGTCTTCTTTTTCATGTTTGACCCATCGCCTGGCGTAATCTTCAGAACCGTAGGAAGCAATTTCAGTTTGGGGGGGGGGGGGGGGCACAGCCAAACATTTTCAGTTGGGGGGCACTATCAACTACCAAAATTCCTTGACAAGCAATTTCCTACGGCCATGATCTTCCATAGAATTCATAATACTTATGAAATTATGACGCCAGTTAAAAGATCGCGGTTCCCTTAATTTTGGCTCTTTTAAAATAAGTGATTTAAGGTTCTCATTATCAACTATGTTTACGTCACCATTAAGACATTTCCAACAGGACTATATGGTTGTAAGGTGAAGAAGAACATGATATTTTCATTTCTTCGATTGGAGTTTGGTATTTGACCTCATCAAAGGTCAATAAGGATCAGTGAACAATTTCAATGACTTTGTGCACCATCAGCCTCTAATAATGTACATAATTCAATGTTTATCAGTTTTTGATTTCCATGAATGATGTTGCCATGGTTACTAAAGTAGATTAAAATTGCAGAAAAAACGTCATTTTTGGAGCCCTGTTTGCCCCCGAAAAATTCCGAAACCGTATTGCTCATCCACAGGACGCCTTCAATCATCATCCAAAAGTTGATTAGGCTACTGCATAAAATGTAGGAGGAGTTCTGGGAACCAGGGTCTTTTTTGTATAAAAACATCATTTTCAACCCCCCATTTGCCCCCCAGGGTGAAAATGAAAATTCTGAAACCTAATTATTGCACATCAACAGGACACCACCAATCATCTTCAAATAGATGGTTCGGCTACCGCATAAAATATACATAGAGAACCGAACAAATGTTATATGGAACACATCTTGTATTATATAACTTTCACCCTATAACAAGGAGTGGTAACCATTTAACATAATGAAGCGACCCTTTATTATATTGAACACACCGTGTATTATGTGTCTTTCACCCTATAAATATTAACCATTTTACATTGTGAACCGACCCTTTATCATATAGAACACACCGTTTTATTATGTGTCTTTCACCCTATAATAAGGCGTAGTGACCATTTTATATACTGAACTGACTCGAATATGATATACAATACCTCAAGACAGCTTTGGCGTTCCATATGTGTAGCTTCGGCTGATGTAATCTAAGAAAACATGGTGGTGTATGATGAAATGAAATTTAGCTGATGCAATCAAATGTGACGTCACCCAAATATTACCCACAATGTTGACTTCAACATAGTTTTCGTTGCATTTGACTCCTTTTATCCATCCTTGAAAGGTAAGCATTTCATTTCAATATTTGTTATTCAAAAAACGATGCTGGCATATACATTTACAGCATGATGCTTGTTTTTATTCGCGATACTAAATTTTGGGGATCAAAATTAATAAGGTATTAGATTTTTCATAGTAAAAACTTGCACTGTGTTCAATTATTTGTTCTATCCAACTCGAAGTTAATTTTGCATGTATTCCTTCTAATCGGCTTTGGAGAGATGAGGTGATCGCTGAATCTTACAGGTTTTACATATAAAAATGTTTTACTCGCAGGTGCGAACGAAAAAAAAAGGGGGAACTTTTGATAAGGGAAAAAATGGTATGCAAAAAAAAGTAGATAGGAAAAAACCTTTGATTATACTCTTATTATGTAAAGAAAGAAGGTGAAAATAACAACAACAACAAACAAATAAAACTTTATTAGACTAAGTATTGAAAATACAGTAACGCTAAAACCAACATTTCTGCTCTAACGTATGTTATATATTATGTCATTCTTCTACTCTGATGCAATAAATAAGTTTGTCAAATTTTCTGGCAGAGTCAAAGTCGATGGAGTATTTTTGCATTGGATATGTCCACTTTCAATTAACAAGAGTGAATCTGAATATATAGTAAACTCACTAAACTATCAGATACAATTCCTACAAACAGAGAACTTTCAGGAACAGTAACTTGTAATGTTTTTTTCCTTAAAAGGAAATGCCTCAATCTAAATGAATGTGGCGAACTGGAGGCTTGTAGTGGAAGAGGATTGTGAGGACATGGAGGAGGATCCAGATACCACTGGGGCGGGCTCACCAGATCCAGTACATGTTGCACAGGCTCTCGACAGTGCGGCGGAATTCTCTTTGTCCATTTTGACTTTGATTTGATTGATAAATCTTCCATTCTTGAAGAGGTCCACTCCATTGACTATGTTTGTCTGGGGATTGAATTGGGTCGTACCCATATAACGCCTGTACTCTCTTTTGTCCATGACTCCTTGTTGTCAAATATAAAAAATAATTTAAGAATATTATTCAAGAATATTAAATAATTAATTGTATAAAATCTTAAGAAAAGCAATGTTATTTTGTACATGTATTGAGTCATAATTATGTATAATTATCATAAATATTAATTAAAATGATAACAATGTATAAGATGTTCAAAAGTATTTAGTGTCCATTGTATTATATTTCAGCCACATTGTCTCGTGTATTAGCCAAGTGATGTTTGTATCTTAACAAAATATGTTTGACTCAAAAGCTAGTATATAAAACTACATGTTTTGTGATCATCGATGTAGAGTGAATCGGAATGGGGGGGGGGGGGGGATTATGTGACTGAGCAGAGTAAGGAAGAGATTGGCGATAATGAATAATACATCAAGGAGTTTAGGCTACTATGGAAATATGAAATCCTAAATATATAAGTTGAAATATTTCCTAATAAATCTTCTTTGAATGCAAAGCTGACTTCCTTAGAAACTGATTAACAGATCTGATACCAGAGTTAATTACTGAAGTGTAGTAACTAATTTTTATTAAATACAACTCTTTGACAAGGGGTGTAGTTTTTTCCCCATTGAAATCAGACTTTAAAATCTAATCGGATTTTGAAATACACATGGATGTGGATAAATCACCTCTTAATAATTACGTTTGAGAAACTTATGTAAAACGAATTAAATTTATATCTGATTAAATTAGTAAAAGTTCATAGTTGTATATCATTTGAAATTAGTCATAAAAGATGGCCATTTTCGGTGTATTTTGCTCTATAAACATATGCCCACCCAACCCGGTGAAACAACAAAAGCTTCGGCATGCATTTGCTTAATAACAATCTATAAGACCTGCAAAAGGATTTTTTGTTTCTCGGAGGGGGGGGGGGGGTCATTTTCCTTTGATTTATATAGTGAAAAACACAAGTTACAACAACATCAGAGTAATCTCTTTTTTTCCCAAGTTACGTTTTGTGAAAATTCATTACATAAATATGAAAAACCATTCAAATATGTTAGCTTTTGAAAATTGACTTGGAAGAAGGCGACAGAACAATTATATTGTTCACCCTTCCTATAGGTTTGCACCGCATCCCTCTGGCATAGGTGTGTGGGGTATCTAGGTGGCCATAGAATGAATGAATAGAATAGAATTGAATGAAGCGCGTTGAAGTGGAAAATTTTCTCTTTGAACGAAACGTTTTGAGCTTTCTTTTGAACAATAGTTGTTACATAATGATATGTCCATTTTTTCTTTTCCTCTTATTGTAGGGGCGAGTAGGCAGGGAAACACCAGTCTGCACTGAGAGAAAGAGAGAGCCATCGATTGTTTTAAATTTTCTCACATGCTTCATTCGAATACTTGTATAGAACACAGGTATTCCATAAATACAATAGCCAATAAGATTGACAGTCTACATAAACACCGGGTAAACACGTGTTCGATAGATACACGTGCTGTGATAACTTAAAGGGGCCTGGACACAGTTGCATATTTACATTCCAAATTTCTATATTTATTCAAAAAATAACTTCAGCTTAATGTATTGATCTTACATGAATATTCTTATAATTAAATGATAACGTCCTTCTTCATAATATCACGTCAAGAGCTGTGTTTGTAAACAGGGCACCAGCTGTGTTATTGTTAGTTTTTACGTTTTACCGAGTGTGTTCAATTTGTTTAGTCTGCATACATCACTGAGCATGGACTGATAATACTTGTGAGCTTTTTTTTCTTTCTCGCGTTTCTACTCTGAACTTACTGGATTTTGGTTTTCATATTTTTCCTTAATACACAACAAATTTCTACTTTTCTTAAGTATTATGGATAAAGTTTACTTTGAGAAAGTGTAAGGATATGTGTCAATCAAACGCGTCCCGAAATTCGTGGTTTTAATAATTTCCAGATAAAAGAAGTTTCTAAACATGCTTTTAATATATTTCGATGCGAAATGCTCTAGCAACATATGTCATGATAGTATTTAGAAAATTTTAGAAAATATGAGCTTCAAATCTGTGTCCCAGCCCCTTTAAATAGACATGACAAATACATATACATGTAATTATGTACATATTCGTTGCAATGCGTGAGTTTTAATTTACATGTTTTAAGACACTCCACTCTCTGAGGCTAGAAACACGAGTTTTGCTGAAATTGGGTTTTTATGAAATTTAGAGAGAGAGTGAGAGACTATCCTCTTCTGTAAAACTCACGAATTGTGATGAATTTGTACATATTTACATGTACATGTGTGTGCGTGTCATGTCTATTTAAGTTATTGCAGCAATAGAGATATCGATCGAACACACGTTTACCCGGTGTTTATGTAGACTGCCAATCTGATTGGCTATTGTATTTAAAGAATACCCTGTACCTATAGGCATTCGAATGAAGCATATGAGAAAATTTAGGACACTTGAGGGCTCCCTCACAGTGCAGACTGTCGTTTCCCCGCCCACTGATCCGTAAAATAAACCGCGTTCTCTTTTTTAAAGAAAGGTCAGAATGTTTCATTTACACGGAAATATTTATCACTTTAATGGGCATCATTGTAGTATCAGGACTGATTCAATTTTTTCTTTAAATTTTCGTTTGTCAGAAAACCCCATCCTTGAACTGAACCCCCCCCCCCCGTTCTGAAATATCTGGATCCGCCACTGAAGATCTCGAGAGGATGGGTAAGGTACAGAATAACAGAAGTGAAAGATGTAAAATGGTGAGAGAAGAGGAAGATTACACCAATAATCTTATATCACATGTCAAGATCGAAGCAGTTTTATTGAAAAAAATAAAATAATAAAATAGGTCCCAAGCCCTCCCGTACCCTCCTCCCAGACCCTGAACACTCAAATGTTCGACTATCATTTGGACATTTCCAATCTGATTAAAATCAGATCTTTGTTTTGCTCCGAAATTCTGATAGTCACTGTACAGAATTTCGGAGCGTATTAAGATCTGATTTGAAGTTTTGGACCCAGAAAAAACACAGAGACGCAAGTAACAAAATAAAGAGTAAAATCCCCCAATCTGATTGAAAGCCTTTGTGTGCCTTCTGGGTCCAATATTGGAAGTAAATACATTATTTACTTACTTATAAAAACAATTTTGCATATGCCACTGATTCAATATCAATATCAGATAGATTTACTCACCAGGCAGTGATCCTTGGTGATAATTTTTTGAAATCGAATGCGAGTACAACTTCTCGTCAAATGACGCGTTTATTTACATAAATTGCATCGTGGGAAGGAATATTGGCGGGGAATATAATCGTCAAGGGGGATAACTTGTCTTGCGTGTTAGCAATAAGTATAATATGGTGGACATTCTCTTTTTAGTTTTGACGAACTGAAAAGAATATTACACTGTAGGCCTAGTCTCTAGTTGTACTGAGTTTTTATTGGTATACAATAGTTTACTCAAAATAGGGCCAAAAAGTTTCTTTTTCCATTCTGTAATTTTTAAATTATTAAAATCAACGTTAACCGTCCAAATAAATGATATCACCTATTCAGTTCGAAGGTATCATATAATTTTCTGAAAAGACGATATTTCCTATATTCGAATTTTAAATAAAAAAAAAAAAAAAAAGTGGAATTTTAAGAGGACTAAGCGATATAATTAATTGGTAATAACTTCTGTGTCTAATAGTGATTCGATCTCATCTTTCCCAGTATAAAATCATCTTTTTAATTTCTTTTTAAAGAAGGATTTGTCAATTTAAAAAAAGGAATTTGTGATGATCTTTTTCAGAAAAAAAATACCAAAAATTGACGAATTCACTGATAGTATATTTACATGTTAATATGATGTGGGTTTTTTTTTGGGGGGGGGGATGGGGTGGGGGGGGGGGGGAGTCTGAATATTATCTTCAAAAAGCTCTTGATTTTGAATACTTTTGAAATACATTTGAAATTGAAGTTATTCTATTTTACGTTTGAAATTTTTATTGTGATTAAAAAGCCCATGTGTAGGCATATAATGCAATAATAACATATGAATCTCGATGAATTTGTCCCAAATATTGATCTTCGTTTTAATTTAAGATGATAAAGAAAAACAAAATTTTCTAATGTCTTTATTCACCACTTAGTCCATCTATAAGTGTTGAAAAATAGGAATCGTATAATGGTCAAAAATATTTGTTCATATTAATCCTTCTTCAAGACTGTTTTTCCGACAAAGAAAACATTTTCGCCGATCCAGCAATTGGAGAGGGGGATCCAACAGTAGGTGAGGCGGGCTCTCCCTCTGATCCAACGCTGAGGGTGCGGATTTTCGCAGGTTGCTGGTGAATTTGTTTATCGATATCATGCTTGATTTCGTGAATATGTCTCCCATTCTTGTACAGGTCGATGCCGTTGACGATATTTTTTTCCGGATGGAAGTGAGGCATATCTACAAAGTTTCTAAGTTCCCTCCTGTCCATTGTCTGTCTGAAAACATAGATTCAGAGTTTAAGTGATCATTCTTTGTTCTATTCGAAATCACTTGCCAAACCATGCGTTCATACTTTCAACTTCTTTAAAAATTAGAGATTATCTTATTTCCTTAGTAGATAACAATTACTGAACGTAAAAGAAACACAGTATTTCGAAAATATCGTTTGCCCATTTATAAGTGAACCTGCATTTCTTGAATCTATTAGAATATAAACCTTTATTTTCGGTGCGCAAGAACAGTAAACGGTCTTGTTTATTAATCTTAGTGAAGGTGGTAAGGCATTTCGTAAAACAAAAATTGTAGTTTTCAAATTGATAACAAATAAATTGTCTTGTATTCATTGTAAATTTATTAAAAATTTATTAAAAAAAAAAAAAATTATTAAACTAGTTTTTCAAATGTGAAAATGTGCGTCAAGTCTAGTATATTTATTGTAAAGTTCCTATACAGTATCAAATGTTAAGATTTAATCCGATATTTTACACTCTTTATTTTTCATTTTATGGCTTTTATAGCATACGAATTAATTACAGATGAATATGATAATTAAAATATAACTTCACGGTTAAAAATTATAATTATGAACACTTGGTACAAAAACCAAAAAAAAATTAGAAGCAAGGGTTGTTATACTTATTCTTGGATTGATTTAGTTGTAAATGATGTAAATTTCAAAATTATAAATTATTAAGTAATTGTAAATGTTCGATGATATTAAAAATGCTGACCTTTTTTTTTTTACATATCCCATATATTCATCTATAAGATTTTTAAGATTTTATTGAAAAAATGTTGAAAAAAAAATGTAGATAATTTTACTTATTACAATTATATATTAAACATAAATTAAGTATCTTCCTTTTTTAGGAAGGGGGGATTTTATTTTAGCGAGTGGCCATAACAAACCGCAAAGAGGTGGTTTTGTTAATTTTCTAGGAATTTGACATACAAGAAATAGAAGTAATTCTTCCTTTTAATTTCATTTTTTATGTCAAAAATGCTTTCCTTCTATCCTAAATGTAGACCATTTTTTCATATTTCATGCACATACATTCTTAGGAAGACAATGAAAAAACTAACTAAATTTCCATGGGAAAAGGCATGAAACAGAATCCTCCCTTGTCCATGTTTGTTTGTGTGTGTGATTATCCTCTCTGTAAATTTTATGAAATTAAAATTCAAAAAAAAAAACTTACTGGTATTAGCTACTTCCTCTACGGACGCCGTGTTCTCCGAGAATGCAGCGAACGATGGATGAATTATCTTTAAATGACATGGTTGGGTTCGTCGTGACAAACTTGGAGATGAATTTCACGAAAGCGAGGCACGCTTTGGTCAAAACCAGTGACTTTGTAAAAAAAAAAATAAATAAATAAAAATAAACATCCATATTGTAATCAGTCAAGACTAATCCATACAAATAACTGTCACCGAAGAGTTTAATTGTTCTGAGAACGATGTTTTCCCCCCTTCGAAAACAGGGTTGACGACCGATTCCTTCCATTTCTCACAAGCAACTCATGAATGTAACAAAAACAATTAAGGTGTACGCAAAAACTCGTGGTTCATTTTGACAAATTTAAAAAAGAAAAAATAGTCGGGATCTGATGAAACCGTGTAATCTTAACCTATTTACTATAGAATACACGTTATTTTATGCTTTAATTTTCATGATGCTACTGTGAAATTTTTCTGGGGGATTTTTTTTAACTTTGGGGACAGTTATTATCTCTTGAATTTGTCGCTTCATTGAACACTAAATCGATATATTACACAACTATAACTACAGCTACAACTACAATGTAAGTATTTTTCACATTCAAACTTTGTTTTAAAAATTATGTATGTAATACCTTTACTGGAATTATTCATATCACTATAGGTGCTTACCATTTTTGTAAAAACTGGTCTTTGAGCTTTTGGTTTATTGTAGTCGCGATTTTGATAATTCCAAGCATTACACAGTCCCGCAGTGTGAAGAATATTCTGTATGCAAGATATCCATGGGTTATTGATCCCATTTTTGGTATATTTATTATAAAGATGTTAATAAATAATTCTACAAATTACATATTCTGTACTGCCAAAACAAGTAATATCTTCCACTTCCGTTTTCGTCTCATTTTTTGAGACTAAATTCTTCTGTCTAAATGCAAGCAAAGCGCAAATTCTAAACAAGAACAGAATAAAGTTTTACACAGTATTTATTCTGTAGTTTTTATCCCTGCCACATTTTATTCATTCTTCACATAAGAACCTTCAATTTCTATACACGAATGATTAATTTTTTTAACATGAGAAAAAATATCTTGCATTCTTGTAAATTGCTATCTTATGTAAATATTGATTACAATTGAACCTAAATATCTCAAACTTCGATATTTCAAATACCATGGATATGTCGAAGCGAATTGGAAGTCACAACCACATTTTCTTTATGTATTTTTACCTCGAGATCTCGAGCCCTCGGATATATTTTCGAATTTTTTTTTTTTTGGTCCCATTGAGTTCGAGTTATATTTTGTATATCAGATATTTTATTTTCATCATAGGGTTCCAGCCATTTACTCCTAGGAAAAAATGTTCAAGGACAACGATGTATTTATGGACAGAAATTTCCGTTGATTACTTAAATGGAGATTATACATTCAAATTAGGTCTTCAGTTGACTCATATTGACCAAATAAATTGCTGATAATGCTTGAATTGAAATACACTGTATGTTTCAATTTATTTTATTTTAGATCAAAGGCATAAATTTCACTTAACTGCATAAATATACCAAGGAATTAAAATTTTTGAGTATGCAGTGTACAAATAATAACAATGTTAAAAATGAACTTGTTTAGTCACAAAATCAAATCCTATGAAGCATGAAGGGCCGTTGCATGTCCCGTGTTATTGTAACCTACGTCATATCATGCACTGGCAGATTTAGAGCCCCCCCCCCCTCCCACACACACACACTCTTTTGTGACCAAAACTCAAAAATATGCACAGCAAATTAATAAATCAATTTTTTGTTTTGGTATATTTCATTAATTATACATAAAGTATAGCTAAAATACGTAAGTCGAAAAACTGTTCCACAATACTCCTAAAAAAACTGCTTTCGTGGACTTTGTCCCCTGGACCCCCACCCCAGACACCCAACTGGTTGGGCACCCCTTTTCAAGAATCCTGGATCCGCCACTCAAGACCTCTTGAGAAGGAACATTTTTGCTTTTCATTAGATTCATTAAAATATTTGCAAATGTAAATTTCATATTTATGTATACAGTGTATGGACAATATTTATGTTTGCTGTATTTAAAAGAGACGTATTGTATTCTATGTCAAAATAAATATTTTAACTTTGATGTTCTTACCTCTAGCTTAATAAAAAAATAAAAATTCTTATTTCACTTCTATATGTAATTATAAATTTGCCTTAATTTCGCAAATGGTGCCACTAAGAAATTAATCTTCATATTGCAAATATACGCTAGAATGGAATTTTCGTGAGAAGATGGTCTCGCTAATATTAAACTTTCGCGAATAAAATTGCTTTACCGTATAAAAATTTATTCCTCATAAAAAAACCGAATACATGTATCTATTTTACCAAGAAAATTTAGAAATATCTTTTCAAAATTCAGATCAAGTAACCATCGTCTTCCCATAGAGGTGGGTAGATGGAATAATGTTGAAAGAAATGAAAGAGTGTGCTATTTATTAATAATAATCAAATTGGAGACGAATTTCATTACTTACTTGAATGTAATGTATTATGTAATATTCGAAAAGATTTT